GGCGCCGCCTCCTCGCTCTATCTCCTTTCAGTCTCGGTCTCCCTCGGTCTCGGGGCTGGGCGTGGCTCCAGTCTCCACCCCCACCCCTTCCCGCCCTTCCCGCCCTGCCCTGTGCTGCTCCGAGCCCCCTGCCCTCGTGGCCCCTTCTAGGGCCTGTCTGCCCCGGGCCTCTCCCCAAACCAGACGCCACACCCGCGGGGGCCCTGCCAGGTGAGGGGCGGCGGTGGGGAGGGCCAGGGTGAAGGGGCAGGAGGTGGGCACCGTCAGAACTGGTCCACTCCCCCAAATCCTCCACTGAGCCCCCCACTTAAACCTGATCAGAAAATTTTGCAGAGAGTGGAGGGTTGTCCCCTTCTCTTGTCCCCACCTTGTCTGCATGGATCCTGTCTCCTTGAGCTGACGCCTCTGGATATGGGCTTGTGGGCATGTTGTGTGTCTGTGTATGCTCGGGTGTTCTTTGTCACTGCCTGGAACTTGCCCCTGTGTGTCCTTTGAATGTGTGATTTACGTGTGTGTATGTATGTTTGGGTGTTCTGGGGCTCTGTGTGCTGTGTGCTATGTCTTGGTGTGTTCTTTATCGGCAGACTCCCCTCTAGGTGTTGGCGTATGTGTGTGTGTCTTTGTGTGCCTGTGTGTGTGCATCCCTGTGTGTCTAGATGGTCCTATGTTGCACACTAGTGGTGACCCACTAGCCATGAGTACACTCAAGCTGTTAATTGTGGGAGCCCATGGTGTTAGGGTGCCAGCCCACCAGGCTTATGTGTGAGTGTGTCTGTACGAGTGTGTGTATATGTGTGCATTCACATGTTGCTCTTTCTCCCCCTCTGCCACTGAGTCACTGTGATCAGGCTGACCTGGTCACCAAGGGAAGGGACTGGTCCCGTGGGCTTCCTCGTTCCTGCTGTGGACTGAGTTAGGCTGTGGTGGACAGGCCAGCAGAGGGCAGCTGTGGTGTCTGTGTATGTTGTGGAGGTGTTTGGACAGCTGTGTCTGGCTGTAGGGTGGTGTAAGGGATCTGGTGTGTGATAGAACTGGGGCTGGGGGCACAACTGCCGGTGTGGGCCTATGACTGGTGGGAGACTCACAGTCTGACTGTATGAAACTGTGAGTATGTGTGCTAGGGGAGTAACTGATTGTGGGGAACCGAGAGTGGTTGGGCGTGGGTGTCAGGAGCAGGGGGGGATGAAACAAGGTGTGTGGTTCCTGCGCCCTGGGGTGACAGTGCTGGGAGGGAAGGTGAGAGCCCCAGTGTGCGTGTGCGCACGCATGTGGGAGGCTGTGAGCCTTTGGGTGTGCATGCAGCACACACAAGCCCAGCCCTGGCTCCTGGGGAGAGGGGGGAGGCTTCTGTCTCCTACCTTCCTCTATTCTCCCAAGTTGACAGGCACCAGAGGGCAAGGCTTGGGGCTTGTAGTGTTGTGACCAAGACCTCTGGATCTAGGAAAGACTTGGGCACAGAAATCACTGTGCCTGTTAAGGGCAAGAGACTGGAGCTAGGCCTCTCTAAGGCTGTTTCTTTATCTGCAGAAGGGAGAAGGTTGTTGTGAGGACTAGAGGTCCTGTGTCAAAGGTCCTTTAGCATAGCTTTGGCCCATAGTAAGATCTCAGCACGTGCTAAGTCTTATTTGGTGACCACTTACTTTCCCCCAACTGTATGGTCCCCGTTCTCCTGGGAGCTGGGGCTAAAAAAAGCCTAAATAGTTCCCCGACCCAATTTCTTGCTGGTGATGTGTCTGTTGCCCCTCTTCCATCCCCTTGACTAGACTGCTAACTGAGACCCCACCAGCATCTATCCCTGTTCATCCTACATGACAACTCCCCTCTGCCCCCACCCTCCAGTCTCAGAAGTAGTGGTGCGGGAAAGAGTGGTGTTGTGTGTGTGTGGGGGGGGGTTGGGGGGGCTGACTTGGAGCTGTGACTGCAGGGCACTGACACCATTTAGCTGGCACAGCTAATTGGAGATTAAATTAAAATTAGAAATAACATAAAGTACAAACAAAAAGATAAAGCCTGAGGATGCCTCAGCCCCCAGGGAATGGTGATGGGGGTCTTCAGCTGGAAGAGGGGCTCATATCTGGGGAGGGGAATCTTTTCTGGAAGCCTGCTGGCCTGCAGGAAAAGTACTCAGGGTACCAGGGCACCTTGCTGCCTTTGCCATTCTTTCCTTCAAGGATCTCTCTGAGCCTTGGGTGTTGTTGTTTTTAGCTGTATAATGGGCACAGCAGTAATATGAGAGTCGTCTCAACTAGAACATGTAAAACAAGGAACAAAAACATGTCACTATTCACTTGTCACTCCCAATTTGAGGCCAGCACAGGAGCTGGCAGGCCACATCATTGGAGCCTCAGAACCACCTGGGGAGATGTATTCTCCTCATTTTAAGGACGAGACAAACTGAGGCTCAGAAGAATTGCCCCAGGCCACAAAGCAGTGGTACCTGATTGCACCCTACTTCTCCCAGGCCCACAGGGCAACCTCTTGCAGACAGGAGGATTAGGAACAGAGTTCTTGCTGTTTCTGTATGTAGCCTGGAAAGGCGCTGAGGGCTGAGATAGCACTCCAGCCCCTAGCTTGGAGTGAATACATGCCCAGTGCCCTGGAAAAGTTGGGCCCAACACCCTATTTCACAGAAGAGAAAGTCAAGTTCAAAGAGATCTGAAGTTTTAAGAGTCAGAAAAGGCTGAGCCAGGCTTGTGTCGGTCATGCTGGGGAGGGCCTGTTTGGTGACGCCTCTCAGCTCAGCTCTTTTCTCTTGTTCCTGCAGGTCTGCTGGGAACTGGCCCTGGTGAGGGCAGCAGGCCTGTTCTCCTGGTGATTGTTGTGTGGTGGTGGTGGTGGCAGGAACCAGGACTAAGGGCAAGGTGGAGCGTGGAACCCCAGGTAAGACTAGATCCTCTTAGTCAGATGGACAGTGGACAGGGTGGACGTCCTCTTTGGGCTCCTCCCCTCACTCCCTGGGACTTGGTTGGGGGTCGGGATGGGGCAGCACACAGAGTCCTTGGTCTGGGTGTGGGGCCTGGGTGCCCAGAGAGGGCAGCAGTGAATGAGGGCTGCCTGGAACTGGCTCTGGCCTAGCCAAGGTTTTTACCTTGGAGCTCAGAAGCCTGGCGCCCAGCAGTGGTTTGGTGTGAGGAGTAGTGACGTTTTGCTGGTCAGTTAGAGAGAAGGTGGTGTGTGAGCCAAGGGTTAAAGGTGGATGTATCAGCTTTTCCGATGTCCCTTATCTCTGCTTCAGGCTGTCATCATCACACAGGGAAACTGAGGTTTGCCCTGGGTCCTACAGTGAGTGGGTTGGACACTGGGAATGGAATGAAGTCTTCCAGCTCCTGGTACAACTGAGCTCTCTTCTACACCCATTCCTACATTTCCTCAGCCTCTCTGGGGCCAGAGGAAGGATTCTAAGTCTCCCTCACCGCCTCCAGATTGAGGATGAGCTGGGCAGAGTTGCTAAGGAATATTGGGGAAGGCTGCAGTCTCGGAGGCCATTCATAAAGCTAGAAATTCTTTTCTTTGACGCCAGCTTTGCCTCCATTAGTCTGCATTGTAATGAAGACAGCCCTGTGAACTTACCGATTGCATATCCAGAGCCCAGTGAGCAGGATTCTGGGGGCAGGGTAGGAGATGCTGAGGGCACAGAACCTAGGGAGTGACAGTGGGGAGGGGTGGCAAAGGTGGTCTTTTCTCCATGAGTCCTTCCTGACCATTTCCCCACTGCCACCCCTCTGGCTGCCAAGCGCCTACAAGTCTTAGGGGCGCGAATAGACAAGTGGGCCTCACTAGGGGGTAGGGGTGCAGGGGTGGGAATGGGGGCTGAACAAAAACAGGGTTTCTTTTGTTTATTCAGCCTACCTGCGAATCTGGTGGGGAGGAGGTGATGGGCTCTTCGTTGCCGGGGCCTGTGCTACCTGAGGTCAGGGGGCCCATCCCCTCCCAGCACTGAGCCCTATTCCCTAAGAAGTTCAATTAATTAGCCTTGGAGCCAGCCCACTTTCTTTTTTAAGAATATTTTTATTGATTTCTAGAGAGAGAGAGGAAGGGAGAGGGAGAGAGAAACAGTGCAAGAGCGAAACATTGATCGGCTGCCTCCTGCACGCTCCCCACCTGGGATTGAGCGTGAAACCTGAGTATGTGCCCTGAGTAGAATCAAACTGGCAGCCCTTTGGTGCATAGGATGACACCCAACTAACCGAGCCACCCTGACCAGACCAGAGCCAGCCACTTTCAACTCTAAAACAACATCTACCTAGTCGGCATAGATGTATACTCACACAGTGATACAGAAACTGAGGCTGCACTTGGCACCCATGCCCACAGACCCACGAGTGCCTGCACATGCACGTGCACACACATGCACACAGGTGTTCATGTGTACTTACCCACAGGCATGCTCAAACATGCACATAGACGCTCACCCAGCCAGCATGCACTCAGATGCCTGCCCACACACACCACACTGTGCCCATTCTGGGTCAGGAATCGGGGGGGTCCTTGGTCAGAGTCATAGCCCAGCTTGTTTCTGGTACTGAGAGCGAGGTGTGAGGTGTGGCTATGACCACAGGTGTCCCAGGGGGCTTGGTCACAATGAAAGGTGAGCTCTGCCCAGGCATTCACTAGTTATCCTGCCCAGCTGGCCCACCCCTCCAGGCTGACCAGGGCTTGTCATTGAAGTTGGGGGAGCAAGGGTGTGGGGGAAGGGCCATGTCAGCTGTGCCGGCACCGTTTGTGGCTGCTGCCACAGAGAAGGAAGTGGGCTGCCTGTGGTCATTGGGCCACAGTGCTCACAGGCTGGTGGGGGTCCTATCAGCCCTTCAGTGTCCCACAGTGTCCATGTCTGGTGTAAGTGGAGGACTGGAAGGCTGAAAGAGGACTTCTCCTGAGGCAGTCTGTGCCCTTTCCAAGGCCTGGTCCCAGGGGAGAGGCCCATCTGTCGGAGGTGTTTCCGGAGGCTCACTTCCTCTGGGCTGCCCAGGAAGTAGTTTCAGAGTGGAACTGACCAGCCCTGCATTCGTGGCTTGCCCCGCCGGCCTTGCCTGTGAGGGGAGTAGTGTCTGGCCAGTGGGTTAGGCCGACTGACCAGGCTTTCCAGTGCCTGGGCTGGCCAGCCCTTGACAGAGGCTCAGGGACCCTCGTGTATGAAGCCCTCCACAGTCCCCACAATCCCTGCTTCTCTTGTGCTCGAAGCCAAGGCTCAGAGTGTTAGAAACGGCAGGCACGGCCCCCTGTGTGTGAGTGGCCACGGCTGGGCTTCATCTCTGGGAGGAGGCAGCTCCAAGCAGCTGTATGAATGAACCTGGGCAAGTGGCTTTGATGCTTAGTGCCTCGGTTTCCCCCTCTGACAAATGAGAGGATGATAGCATCCATCTTTGTGGGGTTGTGCCAGAAACAACCGGTAATGTATGCAAAGTAGTTTGCACTGTGCCCAGCACATTGTTAGTAGTTATGTAAAGCACTTAGCACCCCCGTTCATGTAACTGTTCAAAAACAGCAAGTGGTACGGATGATGACGGGTTTATTATGTCAGATGACCTGGGCACTTGCCCAGTGTCACAGGGCCAGGTGGCTGAAAAGCCAGGTCTCTGGCTCCCTGATGCCCCCTTGATTCTGCCTTCAGAGGCAGTGTGGCAGGGTGGGGAGGGCTCTGTGGGTTCAGTAGGTTCCATGTCCTCTGGGAAGAGGAGCTTCAGGGTGGAGCAGCTGTGCCCACTCAGGGGTCCAGCCCCTCCTTCTCTCCCCCTCGCTCTTTCAAAAGGAGAAAAATAGATCTTATGACAATAGAAAGGAAAGGCAGTCTGCCGCTTCCTGCTGCCCCTCAGGCCTCTCTTTGGTTTCTGCCCCCGCTTACCTCCCCACCCAGGACATTGGGCTTGGAGAAGCTGAGGCTAGCAATGAGGGGGTGGATGGTGAGCCCTCCTGCCAGTCTGCCTACCCTTCAGACCTGGAGTCAGCCTTTGGGCTGGGGCTGGGGGTGGACATCTGGGGCTGATGGAGGCTGGAGGAGTGGGGGGAGCTAGAAATACCCTCTACACATACACTCTTGACAAATGGCAGTGGATGGCAAGGACCTGCTTGTCCCAGGGACACACAAAAGTTCAGCCCAGTGAGGGTTGGGCTGAGCTTTGGCCTTTGCTGTCCGATGCCAAGAGGCTGGGGACCTTGGGTGTGGGAGTGGTAATAATGGTGGGGTAGTTGGCAGGTGCTAGGAGGCTAGAGGGCTGGAGATTGGCAGTTACCAGCTAAGAGTGTGAGGGCATCCTGAAGGGATAGGAGCAAGACCTCTGCAGGCATCAGGCAGACCTAGGTTCAAATTCTTGCTGGATATTTACTGCTATGGACTCTGGAGCCAGGGACTGGACTGCTTTGCCCCTCAAGTTGCCTCATCTGTGAAATGGACAGATCAGGGACCTGAATGATGAGAAGTAGCCAGTGTATGTTTTGGGGAAGATGGCCGGAAGGCAGAACAGCAAGCTCAGAGGCTCCTAAGTGGGATGGAACTTGTCTGTTCAGAGAACTGAAAAGGGCTCATTGTGGCTGGGGCAGAGGAGTGAAGAGGGCAGTGGCTGAGAAGGTCAGGGAGGTAATGAGGGCAGGTTGGGTGGGGCAGGCCAGGGAGAGGAATCTGGGTCTATCAAGAGGGGAAACGGGATCCTGGGAGCTTAGGCAGGGGGTGAATAGATCTTAAAAGACCCACCTAGCCGCTGGGGCAGAGGGACTGTGGGAGCCAGACCAGAGGATGGAAAGCAGTGAGCAGGCAGGTGCAGAGCCTGGGGGCGCTAGTGGTGCCAGGACAGGGGCAGCAGGCGGAGAGAAGAGAGGACTTCAGGACTGACTGCAGAGATAGATATGATAGTGTTGCTGTGTAGGGAGGAAGGGGGAGGAGGAAAACGACCCTCAGGTGTTTGGCCTGAACAACTAACTGGGCAAGCACTGGGGCTGCTAGGAGATGGGAGCACTTGCGTGGGGGAACATCAGCAGGTCTGTCTTGGACGTGTCTGAGTACCCCTAGAGCGAGTTGAGGTCATGGAGGCAGGTGGGTTCAGGAAGGCCTGGGCTGAAAGTTGAGAGGTAGCATGCACAGCCCAGATTGGGGAGGAAAGGGTTCAGCGGGCGTTTGGTGGAGGCTCTGGGTACAGGTCTGGATGGCTGTCCTTTGAAGGTCCCTGCCAAGGTGCCCAGAAGGGCAGGCTTGTGGTGGCTGAGCTGCTGTTTTCACAACAGCCCCGGAAGCTTTGGATCATGTCTGTGGCTGTGTTGGGTAAACAGGTGCAGTGGAGCAGCCAGTCGATAATGCCCAAGGCCAGATCAGATGTCTGCTTGCTGTGGGCTGTGGGTGTTGGGGATGAGATGGGGGGGGGGCTAGATAGGAGGATTGCAGGGTCTTTTAGTATCAGGGCTGGAGAAAACTTAGAAGTAGTAGTCATTTTCAAGACAGGGAAACTGAGGCCCTGAGAGGAACAGCAGCTGGGGTCTGCCAGTGGACTCAGGCTTCCTTTGCTCAGCCTGGCCTCTTCCCAGAACAGCAGACCAAAGCAGGTGACTACAGGGCTGAGTGGCTTGAGAGAGCCCCTTTACCCACTGATCCAACAAAGTTTGGAGGCCCTTGTAATTACCAGGGAGAGCTGGAAATGGTGCCAGGAACTGCACTCAGCACAACCTCCTAGGCTAGATCATTCCCTTTTACAGATGACCCCAGAGCGCCTTGGCAAAGCTCTCAAGTCACCCAAGGCAGACCAGATCTGAACTAGACCTGTCCAGCCCACACCCAGGCCCCCACCTGCCATGGGATGGCACAGCACAGTCCTGCCTCTCCCCTAAAGTGGGGAGGCATCTTATGGGCCTATTTTCCTTGTGGGGACTGATGACAAAAGCCCTAGGTGGCCATC